ATTTGGCCCTGAAACAAACAACATTACTGTTTCTGCATGAGAAACACAGTGGACGCATTCACATTTACACGGATGGCTCGGTCACTTCAACAAGTTCAACAGGCGCAGTGGTAATTCCGGAGAAATTCATCACGATAAAGTTCAGGACCTCACATCTGACATCATCCACGGCGGCAGAACTCGCCGCCATTCGTGCTGCTCTGGAGTTCCTAGTTGAAGAACCGCAACAGACATGGTCAATATTCTCCGACTCCAAAGCAGCTCTCCAGGGCATTGCCTCGCCATACCGTCGTGGACCAAACGAACAGCTAATTGCTGAAATACGACTGCTTCATCACCAGGCTATAGTGAAGCAACATGACATAGCGTACCAATGGATACCAGACCACTGCAGCATTGATGGAAACGACCATGCAGATGAAGCAGCCCGAACTGCTCATGATGATGCTTCTTGTGTAGCTGTACCATTATCAAGAACGGACGCCGCTGCAAGGCTTCGATCACTTGCACGAGAACTGACACTCGCTCAGTGGAATTCACCGGCATTCACCAACGTCCGCCTTCATAATTTGGACCCACACCTACAGCTGCGTCTTCCATCAGGAATAACCAGAGCAGAGGAGACGCTTTTGTGCCGCCTGTGGATTGGGGTGGCCTTTACGAATGCTTATTCGTTTCGAATCGGAATGGCCAGAAGCCCCACACGTGAAAACTGTGGCTGCGCAGAGACTTTCTCCCATCTTCTCGGCGAGTGTCCCCGCTTCAGCGTGCCAAGAAAAGAATTGTCGAAAGCTTTAGATAGAATCGACAATCGCCAATTGTCAGAAGAAAGGGTATTAGGACACTGGCCGAGACCGTCCTCTGCACGCAAGGCATTGAGAGCGTTGTTGCGCTTTCTGCGGGCAAGTGGTCTTAGAGACAGACTGTAAACAGCGTCGTGGATCGTCTGAGGACCTTCTTTCTCCTTTTTTTACAACGTCTCTTTTCTCTCATCCTTTATCCCCCTTACCCCTTCCCCAGTACAAGGTAGCCAGCCGGTCTGAGAACTGGCTAACCTCCCTGTCCTTCCTCATTTATTCCTCCTCCTCCTCCTCCTCCTCCTCTTGAGGACGTTTCTCAGTGGGCTGTATGCAGTATGCGGAGTGTCAATCATGGAGTGGAATGTTTAAATGTGAGGCATAGTTTGTATTTGAGAGTATTGACACGTGGCAGTTGTAGCAGCATCAACGATACTCTATTGTGACAAAAATTGGAAAGAAAACGCCAGGCCTGCGCGGAAGGCGCATCACTGTCACAGCGAAAGCTAGAAGAGCGGCCTTTCAGTGTTTTTTTTTCTTATTCTCAATGGCCAACTGCTGCAAGTACGCTTGTTTAATGTCCATTACGGCATTATTAATAAAAATGTTTTGGTAGTAGGCCAGCATCCGCTATGCAATATTTCATCATTCTTCTGAGAAGTGTGGTATCCGCTAAACACTTGCAAGGAATTTCCTGCCAGTTTTTCATGCAGTGGCCGACGACGATCAGGAATTGTGCCTGAAGTGGGTATGCGCCACAGCAAATGGCTGAACAAAAACAAGCTTTTGTGATGATTTGGAGCATTGGGCGGCCTACTCGTTATTCTATTCGCATTGTGCGACGACTGCTTTTTCATTAGCTGTTTTAAAACGCTTTATAATTCGTATTAACGTGATTGCTTTCCCGACATCTTGCCTTGCTAAGGCAAGTTTGCCAACAAGTCCCTTGCATGGGGTTGGCTGAGTGGTAGAATACTGCGCTGGCCCGCTGTGCCCCAATGTATCTTGGGGCACATTTTTTCTTCTAATTTCTTGCAATGTGATTACGAACACTGGTGGCGGCGGTGGACAACTATACGGTGCTGCGCGAGATCCAAGTTGTGATCTCATGAAAGCTTTCGCTGCAAAAAGAATTCTATGTAGCATACACAGAATGAGGGTCAGTAAGCAATCAAAGTCGTTTTCCGGTTCTATGTAGCTGAGACAGTTCTGATAAAGGGCTGGCGGCGCGGCAGAAGCACACCGTTGTTGACATAAAAGTGCTTCATGCCACGGTACACCAAGAATTCAGCGACGTATTATGTCGTAGAAGTGACGTCAGAAAATGCACATAATCTGAGGAAAGATTTCCCTCAACGAGAGTCGAACCCATGGTCTCTCCGTCGGCGAAAAGAAATAACGGGCAGGCTATCCACTGTGACATGGTCCCACACAATGCAGGATTTAAAACACAATTCGTCTATATACCACTGTCCTCTCACAGTGTTTTTGCTGAAGTGTCGCAGTGCATTGTGACTATGGCACCCAGAATTAGCTCCTTCGACGCGTCGTTTCTACGCGCCCACTTATGCGGGACGTTTCCAAAGGAAAGGTGGAATTTCTTGAACGCCTTAAGAGGCCACCAGTTAGTGAACTTAGCCAAAGCATGACGATAGGTATAGCGCGAGAACAGAACGACGACAAAGAGACTCGCGCTATAACTATCGTCGTGTCATACCAACTAGCCCAAACTGCCACACTTTTAAGTTAGCCAAAGCGTTTGCATAACTTATAGCATCTGCCTATACCAAAATAGCTCTGTGACACACCCACATTGCCTGGACATATCTCTAAGTTCCCGCTTACGCTCGGTTCACGAAAAAGTGTTGCGTGCCAACAGGGAAGACAAAAAGTTGTCGCGTTTCTCTCTAATATGGCCGAAAATTGGCGTTTAATAATTAATCTGTGATGCCGCGAGTAGCGACCATAGAACTACTCACTTCCTCCACGGCCCCAGTTTGGCATGCAGTCAGTCACGCTTTTCTGGCTGTCGCACTTCTTCCTTTGGCTGCGCTCCATCAGTTACCAATACTCCAGCTTACTCAGGCATCCATCACCACAAGTGCATGTCTATTGGTGAATCAATCATTCATCATGAATGCTAGTCGCCGAGATGGAGATGTATCCCTACGCGTCCACGTGGATGCACTCACGTTATACGGTGCTTAACGTGTCAAACACCCACATTGTATGAGCTCTCTTGTATCAATGTGCAGTGAACATGAAACTGATTCTTGAAGGAGGCGTTATAGTATGGCGTTATGCTGAGTTTCATTACTAAGGAATCATTCTTGTTTAATTGAAAAGGCAATTAAGACATTTAAAACAACATAAAAAGGGGAAAATGTTTTTTAGTGTTTAATATTCTGCTTCGCAGCTAATGTGTTGTCCAAATGACCTGTAAATCCACATGCTTTGTGTTTAGTATGATAATGTAATGTTAATAGGATATTCCAAGGGGCCTCCTCTTGATAGAGATGGTGGTAAATTTTCATAACTAGCCTCTTTGTTCTATATGATCATTTTACTTAGTTCTCTGCAAATTAAGGCAAGATACTGCTGAAACTGTTGAGACGTTGAGACACGTTCACATGCCACATAGTCATGAAATTACCTTCAATTGCTTCGAATTCCTAAAAATATTTAGGCATTTCACTGAGCAAATGACATAGGAAAATTTTAAGCGTCGCTTCGTCATGCAGAGAACTTGTTAGCGTCAGTTTCAATGTTTTCTTTTAAGTAAAATAACAATACATAAACATATTCCTTCACAGTTGTTTTGCACAATAGGTCACCAAAAAAACATTTTTATTTTGAAAGTTGAGAACTCAGCACATTGATCATGTGCTCCTGAGCAATGGAATAAACAGTAAATAGCACAACGCGCCATAGAATTGTTCTGTTATTGTAACGAACCATTTTGTGTATATGTTTCTTGTGCTTTTTTTGCTGCTGGCGGTCAAATGCACGCAGGTGAATTAACACTGTGTACACTGCCTAAATTAAAGAACTTGTGCGTTTTAAGTTGTTTGTGTCAGAGTGGGTCTTTCTGGGGGCTACGGCTTAAGGTAAACTACGCATTTTTTTCGTGGTTCACGCAATGAACTGCCCTAATGGGGGACAGAAACTTGCAGATGTGGATGAAAATGATGGAGGTAATAAGCACAATGTCACTGGTGGAAAAATTATAGAAGCCACAATAAGACACCAAAATATAGCTCAGTAAATGGGAACAAAAATAGGTGTAGAAAACAACTGGCTTGACGCTGAGGTAAAAAAAAATTTTTTGACGTGGCCTGATCACGTAATGCCGCAAGGAATATGTGACAACATGTGGACAGCTAAGCCAATTGATAGAATAGCTAAAGATACGGAACGCAGTTGAGAATCGCAGAAGGCTTCGTTGTTTTAGTGAAAGGAAGAAATTTGTACGCCCACACATAGCACGACTTTCAACTTTGAACAGTTAATCTTGTGATACGAACAATACTTATTTGAGAAAACATGAGCTCTTCTGCTGCGCAAAGATAACAATTAAAAACATTACTAGGCAACATCATGGACACCAAGACAATTGCACTCTTTTTGTCAGCATGATTGATGGCATGCGGACACACTTTCCACCCGCATTTTTAATCAATCCCACTTATATAATATCGCATGTAAGCTGATTCCCATTTATTTGTACAACTCTGCACGGCCCACCGTGGTGAAGAACTTTGCAGACATGCAATATCGCAGAATCGCGCATGACATGAAAAAGTGGGGACGTTTTTCGAAAAAATGCGGTTTCCGAAGATTTCGCTTTGGCAACACGCGAACCAGCATACGTCGCCACCATAGGGGCATGGCGAAGACGTGCTGATGGTGACAGCCAATCACGTCTTAGCAAAGCAAAGTTTTGAGAAAACCGAATCATTACGTAACACTGCGCCTGGTAATATTTGTTAGCGTACCGTTGTCCTGCAGAGAACGTCTAAAATGATGAAGATGATGATAATAGCGAGTTGTCCGGTATTGCACAATCACTTCTGCAAACACAAGACGCACGAACGTGGCCTTTCTTTTTTCAGAAGCGGGAAATAACGTGAAAAATAGCAAGAATAAAAACTGTTTCTTTTGCAGCCCAGATGATAGATGCGTGTATTCATTTCTGTTTTGCAGATCAGTGGTACGAAATGCGGGTGAAGAACTTGACCGTACGGAGGCCACACTGGGCGTGCGTTATGAATTTCGCCGATGTCACCTATAGGAGAGGCAAAGAAAGAGTAGTGTACTCGCCTAAATGCCAGAAAATGTATAATGTCAAACCCAAAAGCGACAAAAGCCAATGGCAGGAATAGTTCTTTACCGAATTTTGTCTTTGACCTCATTGTCACGAACACACAACCCGTCAACGAAAACGCATGGTAAAGTGCAAGTTCAGTGGGCTGTTGTGTCGGTTTATTGCAAATAGATTGAGACAATCAATCAATTCCTGTTTTTAGTATGTTCGTAATGGATTTAGGATGTCTAAATGTGGAAGCTTGTTAAGAGCCTGTCGTTTCTTGCTGCACACCAGTGATAACTATTCATACGGTAATAGGGTGTAAGCCAAGCAATGCTCATGTTCAATCGAACACTCAAAACATATACACTTTGTTGCACAAGTGATCTCAGGCCATAGCTTATATTTAGACGTTCGTTAAACATTCTCAAGTTACCAAAATATCTGAAACTCTCCTCCACAGCGTCGCTCCTAAACGTCTTCTAGTTTTGGGACTTGAAACACTAGTGATAATATATTGGAATGCAGTATTCGATATTCATGTACCGTATGTCAATCACCACTGTGAAATAAAGTTGCGGCTGTCCGAAATTGTGTCTTGGTTATTTTACCATGCTTTTACACCCATGACTGCAACAAAAAAAGAGTATTTTTTTATTACCATTGAAATTCCGAAATGGTACACTGTAAGCTGGTAAAAAATTACTGGCCCGATTAAACAACATTTCGAAATAGAAAGGTAATTTACCTCAAAAGTGTGGCGGCTGGAACGAAGGAAAGTTTTTTTCGCATACTTCTAAATAAACTGCGGGATTCCATATGTTCCTCGCTATGACTCGCTCTTTTTGGACGCCAGAGAGACGTGATATTTCTCCGCCTCCTGTGTGCTGCACACTCTTCAGAGGCTGCAGTATCTCGAGATAATTCGTTATAGCCGGGGAACAACAAGGCATCTGCGACACGTTTGGTGGTGAGCAGTGTAATATGATCACCGAGAATGTTTCACTGCATCGCGAAAAACCCCAAGCTGGGATATTTGAGGTATTGATAAATAAATAAAATATACATAGCTTGGGGAGCGTCAGCCGTGACATAACCACGCTTCTTTGCATTAGTTACAACATTTCTTCTCTTTTAACTTGTTTCGTATTATTATCTTTCAGGCGGTAACCGAATCCTTGCGCTTCACCGTGGCAGAAGTTCAGGAGGGTCTTCAGTGGCAGTAAAATTTGTAGCTTGCCACGTTTGTTCATGGACCTCGGTAAAAGTGTCCTCTGTTTTGTCGGGGGTCACCGGACCATGTTGTACGGTACTTGGAAACAGTTTATCCTGACATTGAAGCTACAGATACACAGGCGGAGCTTCCGCGCATTCATGTTCCTCTGCATGTATTGCACGGCAGCTTGCGGCTGATTTCAAATGGCCAAAATGTTTGGGTTGTTCACTGTATACTTCAGTGTAACAGTGCACTTGCGGTCGCACACGCAGAGTGTCCCACCGTGCCACTGACGCCATGTGTACTTACGAAAACGCGTGTGCTGAGAAAGTGGTGCTGTCCAGGAAGTGGAAAGAAAAGGAAGGCATTCTCGAATAATGAAAAAAAAAATACTGCATATTGTCTACGATTTCCCCAATTAATATATTAGAGTAAACAAAACCGCGTATATTTCAACAAGGCAAGTGATAAGAGATGTCAGTCAAGTTGACCTTCATTTGATGGCACGGTTGCCGGCATGCGCTTTTGTTGTGTGGCAACCCCAGTGCTGTCAAGAAAAGTTCTGATCGAGTTTAGAGGTGTGCCAGCGATGCACAATGTTCTGGATGGTCTAAGAAAAAGACTAGTATAAACAATGTCATCAGCATCCATGAATCGCTCCTTGCCTTCCACGTTGACTATTGAAGTTGCCACACTAACGTGGCAAACCGTCACTACTTCTGATCAGAGTGGATCGCCTGGCGGGAATATACTAACTAGGACCCGTTCTTCTACATCAAATTCCTTCTAGTTCTTTTTTTTCTCACTGGTCTTGGTCTATTGATAAAGTAGGCCCTGACTGTACGGCTATTTCAAGGCGCAAAATGCTGAGACGCGTGCGCGGTGCTCAACACAGGAATCCGTGTTCTGTAGTCTTACTATTCATGGAACACTGCATATTAGGGTATTTGAATAGGAACTCGTCTCACCGGTGTTGAATGGTTCGGGCTTTTTCGGAGCCCTGCTCGTCTTGCAGATGGCCTACATGGTTCTTCCCCGTCTCGGCGAGCCTCTCAACTGCCTCATTCGAAGCCCGAAGGTATGGCTGTGTCTTGACTTGTTGCTGAGAAAGCCTTCAAATTCGTCACACACAAATTGTGGACCATTATCTGACACAGTATGTCCAGGAAGGGCAAACGTTCCAAAAACAGTGCGAAGATTTTTGACACTTTTGACGCTGTGGTCGATTTCATGTGTATAAGTGTGTTCACCCAATTAGAATGCGCATTGAAAAGAACAGAAAACCAGTCGTGTTAGTCGTATGGAAAGTCTAGGCACACTCCTTTTCCACCGTCTGGCAGGCCACCCCCGTGCCATCGGGGTTGTGGCTGGTGAGCTGGCAAGTTGAACCACATCGCACTGTTTCTTCGATCATATCATTCAACTTCGGCCACAACACGCGACTTGCGCGACTTGCTGAAAGTTTGTGCCACCAGGGTGCCCCTCGTGCAAAGGCTGCAACACTTCCAGTTGCAGACTTGAGAATAACTACTCAACTGCCCTAGGTTACGCAGCCTGAGTTTAAAGCCAGTCCATTCTGGCAGACAAAACGTGCATTGTCACCGTCTGACAGTATTTTAGGTCGGTCATCCAAAATCAAATGTCTTTACGTATGGTCTCTCTCCATTTTGGCTTGAATCTTGCCCTTGGAAAGCCGTACTACATCAAAAGCAAAAAAAGAACGTAGTCAAACTTGCCTGTTCTGTTCGGAAGCGGCTATTCTGAGAGCGTGTCGATTGGTCAGCCGCGCACCCTTTCTATAAATCCACTAGCACTGATGAGGCAGCAGTACCAGCATACTGCAACGCATGCGTGCGGCAGCCATTTGTGAAATCGGCTTTCTCTGGAACAACAGGCCAGCAATAATAATAATAATAATAATAATAATAATAATAATAATAATAATAATAATAATAATAATAATAATAATAATAATAATAATAATAATAATAATAATAATAATAATAATAATAATTTGTTGTTGTTGTTGTTGTTAAACTCGACTTGCCTAGCAGAACGCTAGGAAACTACTATATATTTTTAAGGAATGTTTACCTTCAAGGCCCTTCATGAGTCCTAACCCAGAGGAGCAAATATTGGCCTACCTTTTTATTTCGAAGGTTGATCGCTGTGAGCTCCGCTTTTACCGTGTGAATGCCATTCAAGACGCCGTCCATGTGCACAATTCATTCGCGTCGAAGTAACACTGGCTTGTCTCCTGGCACCGCAACTACTTGCAGAACCTTGAGCTGTCCGTTGAATTCGACCAGAAAATAGGTTTGCCCCTTCACTTTCAGCGGCGCTCCTCCATACGTCTTCAGCTTGAAGGGTAGATTCCCTAGCTGCTTCCATAGGTCTTCCGATACGGGAATCCATCCGTCCGGCCGTGCGTCCATCAGTCCGTCCGTCTATAGGTATGTCCGTCTGTCCATCCGTCTACCTAGTGAACACTCCAAGTACAGCCATCTCACATCTTTTCATCTTGTATTCATTATATACAAGTGCCGCCATCGAGCGGACAATCTAAGGACCGCTCTTTTTGGTATGAGCCACCGGTGGCTACATACACCATCGGATAATTGGCAGACCCACACCCTAATCAGCTTCGCCCCTAAAACAGCGGATCCTGTGTCTACTTGCACCTGCACGCACTTCTTTGCAAGCGTTAGTTCTATACCTGATACGGCTAATGCTCCGCCGCGGTGGTCTAGTGGCTAAGGTACTCGGCTGCTGGCCCTCAGGTCGCGGGTTCGAATCCCGGCTGCGGCGGCTGCATTTCTGATGGAGGCGTAAATGTTGTAGGCCCGTGTGCTCAGATTTGGGTGCACGTTAAAAAACCCCAGGTGGTCGAAATTTCCGGAGCCCTCCACTGCGGCGTCTTTCATTATCATATGGTGGTTTCGGGACGTTAAACCCCGCAGATCAATCAATCAATCATCTGATAGGCTAGTTCGCAAGGCCGAGGTTAAGTGCGGCGTACAATGACATCTCATTATCTTCTTGTTGGTTGACAACGGCGGAAATTTTTCTTGTAAGTGGCGGCCATCACACGCATACTCGAGCCAAGTGACCTGTGCGTTTTCAGCTGTAGCATCTTGATTTCCAATAACGACAAGATAACGACAAAAGATAACGACATAGTCTCGTACTCTTGACCACAGTGGAGACACTTTGTCTTGGTGGCGTTCTCTTGCGTAACTTCCTTAACCACTAATTCCACCTTCCTGTCCGTCTTCTCATCGCATGGACGTCGGCTTCTATACCACTGCCAGGTAGAAACCCCGTCGACTCCTGCTTCACCATTTCGACGCTTCTGGCAAAGTCGCAAGCAGATTGAAGCGACAGCTGCTTTTTTAGTTGACCCTCTGGGGTGGCAAAGCTTTGCCATTCAGTTACGAACCGGTCGCGTAGTGCGTCATCAAGAAAGGTGTCGTATCTGCATTTAGTGGTCATGGGCTTCAGTGCAACTGCAAACGTCGATACTGTTTCACCTTCATCTTGGTGTGACTGGTTGAATCTGAATCACTCTGCGATGGTTCGACTTGCAGGCGTAATGATCACGGAGTACCTTGATGAGGTTTTTGAAACTCTTCTCAGCAGGGATCGGCCGTAGAAGTGAATGCTTGAGTGTGTTGTACGCATTCTTATCACTGGTCGTTATGAAGGCAGACGTCTTAAGCTTCTCCTCTTGTACGTTGGCTACATCGCAGTGGAGCTGTACCCAGTTGTCGTTTTGGGTACGAGTGCCGTAACCGAGTCCAACAGACCGACACGAGAAGCCAAGTGATAAGACGGGGCGCGCATGCGCCCTTGCAACAGGTGTCTCGTCGTGTCTCCTCGTTAGCTGGCGCGTCGATGTATTTTCCCACGTGATCCCGTGGTCTGCACACTTCTGATCGCACGTGTACGTGGGTGCTTTATGCACTTTGATGTGTGTCGTAGAAAGAAGACGAGACAAACAACTGCGTTCAATGCAATAAAAATCAAGATTCTTCTTTTTATTTTTCTCCTTCAGCGAGTTTTGATACTGTGCCTTATGCTCCAATAAATTAACCTTGCGTGTTACGTGTGCAGTCGTCGAGGTTGTAGCATGAAAAATAACTAGCTATCTGAGCACTTACGACAGGAAACAGGAGAGCACCTTGCCATAAATGCAGAAAAGTGCCTTGACATTGTTTGCTCAGGGGGTGTTGACCAACACGCTTTACTAAAGGTCACGCATGGGCTCCTTACACACGGCTGCTTTTTTCGTCGTCATCAGGCCCTTGCCAACCGCCCCTTTTTACGCGATAGCTTTAGAGAGCTCATGTCGCAGAAATTCCACCGTCGGCGTCGG